CGACATACTAGGGTAAATGATGGCTTATTACTGATTTATATTTTGTTGATTATTTGTTAAGTATATTTCCATATTTAACTTTTTTTTCTGTATTGATATTTTACCTATTGAGTTTTTATTGCTTATTTTATGAATTCAAAGAATTATGTGTTCTGCTTTTGCCATGGATTACAAATACCTTCCTAATTTGTTGCATTTTTTATTTTTAGTTATCTTTTTATTATGCAATCTCTTAATTTAATATTATTATAAATACTGTTTTAATATACTAATTTTTCTAAGAGTTAAGTTTTTAAAGTACTCTTTTTCTTTATGGTGGTGAATCAATTTTCAGTTCATGGAGCCTATGGTTATAGGTGAATTTAATGTTATCTTTCTTCTCTTGAGTGGTCACATGTTCATTTTAAGAAATATATTTTTACAGGTAATTTTATTTTTTATGTTTTAACTTTTTTATAGGTTGTTTAAAATTAGGTTTTAGCAATTAATAGTTATATTTAATATATAATTAAAATTTTTTTAAAGAATAGTTTATTGATTTTATTTTTTTTAGAGAGAGAGAAAGAGGAACATCAGTATAGAAGCATAACATTGATTGGCTGCCTCCTGCGTGCTCCACAATCTGAGCATGTGCCCTCAACCAGGGATCGAGCCAGCAATCTTTTGCAGCACAGGATAATACCTAACCAATTGAGCCATATCAGCCAGGGCTTTTAATGTAGAATTTTTAGATTTTCTTTTTTATGCTTGTATAATGTCCGGAAGAGTTTTTTTTAAGTATTGTATTTTGTTTCAAAAGTGATTTATATTCAACTCTTTAATGGAGCTTTGTCTAGTTTGATAATTTGGCATAACTTTTTAAAAAATATATATTTCATTGATTTTTTACAGAGAGGAAGGGAGAGGGATCGAGATTAGAAACATCGATGAGAGAGAAATATCAATCAGCTGCCTCCTGCACACACCCTACTGGGGATGTGCCTGCAGCCAAGGTACATGCCCTTGACTGGAACTGAACCTGGGGCCCTTCAGTCTGCAGGGCGATGTTCTATCCACTGAGCCAAACCGGTCAGTTTTTTTTTTTTTTTTTTTTTTTTTTTTTTTTTTTTTTTATAGTAAGGAAAAATATTTTTCAAGTTATATGTTAAGGAAATTATCATTAGTGTTTTTGAAGATAGTTTTCCATTGTGTTAACTGCAGGTCTTTAATGGTTGTTTCGTGACAGTAATTTTTTCATTTGGTTAATTGTTTATATTCACTTTATATATTTAATCATAGTGCTAATTTCTAGTCTAATATTATTATTATTAATATTATTTTTCTTTATAGCGAGAACATAGTTTAATAAAAGCCTAGAAGAACACACTGGAAGCTTTTTATGCTGTTTAAATAAAAATAGAAGAAAAATTACATTTGACCCTTGAACAACATGGGGTTGAACTGTGCAGGTCCACTTTTATGCAGATTTTTTTCAGCAAATGCATACTATATTGTATATTCTCTTATGATTTTCTTTAATTTATTGCAAGAATTCAGTATGTAATACATACAAAATATATGTTAATAGACTGTTTAGACTATTAGTAGTTAAATTTGGGAGGAATTAAAAGTATATGCAGATTTTTTATTGTATTGAGGTCAGTGCCCCTAACTCCCACATTGTTCAAGGTTCATTTGTATTGTGATCCTTTTATAGCGGTTAAATAAATCTAATTCTAAGGCTTAGAAATCTGTTAACAATGTTTGTATTAGAATTCCTCATGTAAAATATTCTTTAAATAGTACTTTTTATTTATTTCCCCCTCTCAGCATTTTACTTTCATTAGTTTCAAATCTACAAAGGTTATAAGAATAGTATAGCAAGCACACTACCTACCCTTCACCTAGCTATTTATTTAATATTAATTAACATTACGTTTTGCCAGCTTTCTTTAACCAGAATGACTGGTCGACTGGTTGCTGTGATGTGCACTGACCACCAGGGGGCAGACGCTCAATGTAGGAGCTGCCCCCTGGTGGTCAGTGAGCTCCCACAGCAGGGGTTCACAGCCGGTGGGCTCACAGCCGGTGAGTGCAGCTGCGGCAGCGGTGGCAGTAGGAGCAGTGGGGGCAGCAGTGGCAGTAGGAGCAGTGGGGCCAGGATGAGCAGCAGCAGAGCTGTGCCCATCCAGCTGGGGTTCCTCCCTAGCTGCCTGCTGCTTTGGCGCTGCTGCATCCCTCAGGGTCCCAGATTGCAAGAGTGCACAGGCCAGGCTAAGAGACCTCACCCGTGCATGAATCTGTGCACTGGGCCTCTAGTCTATTATAATGGTGATTGCAAACTAGTGATTTTAATAATTCTGTTATTCTTTGTACATTTACTGGTTGGCATTCTTCTTTAAAAAGTTCCACTTCCCCTTATCCCTTTATTTGGTGTCATTGTAGACTCATGGATTCATTTTTTAAATCTAATGTGTTATCATGCATCACTCTCATAATTCCTATTCATGCTCAACTTATGCCAAATTTAGCCATGGGAACCCTGAAGTGTTATCTTTTAATTATGTGAAGACTTTCTTCTAATCACATATCTGTGGAAAATAGGTCTGACTTAAAAATGTCCTTTTGGATAACATTTCTTTAATCCATAGGGCCTTTTTTTCTTAGTTACACTGATTAAAATATAGCACACTTTCACAGAGCTTGATAAGATTATGCCATTCAGTTGTCACCATAATTACTTGAATGACTGTTGTCCTGTTACTTCTAATAGTTTTAGTTTCCCCTTTCTATAGAGTAGAAGCTTACATTAAATTTTTCCACTTGCAATTATTTCCTGTCCTTGGGGTTTAGGGACATGGTGGCGGACAGAGACATTTTAAAGTATGTTTTGTCTTGTCGCAGTTTCTGTGTTCAGTATGTACTGTATATAATGCTTTCACTAAAAAAGGACTCTACAGATAAGCAAATGCAATTTGATGGCACTCCTTCCATAGAAATTGGTGGAAGGAGTGCTGGCAGTGTGACTAAAGTAAGCCTTGCTAAATAAAAGGCCTGGGAGGAGGAGTCCCTGGCACTGATTTTAGGGGATTATTTTTTTCTTGAACATTTTAACTTTTTTTTCTTAAAAAGGTTTGTTATACTTCTTGTCTTTGTATGTAGAGAATTCTGTGCAATGCATGAGTATTATGGCTTTCTTTAAAAATCTCTTGGCTTTTAGCTTTGGGGCAGGATCTAGTTAGGGCCAATTAAGCAATCAGAGCCCATTATAGATTCTCAAGTCTTGGTGCTTTAATGAGGCCCTTTATACCATGGAGAAGTGGGGTCTGGAGGCATTTGCTGGAAAGATTAGATAATTAGAGTCTGTGAGGTTGTTGTATGTCTTCTCTGCTTTGTCTTTTATTGGGTCATTGTGTTTTGAGATGAACGAGGTTCCCACCCACCCCCTTATTATAGGTACAGAAAGCATAGATCCTAGTCTTCCCTCTGCTAGGGTTTTAATATTAAAAACTGAGGGCCTCAACAGAAAAGTGGGAGCAGATAGAGAATGCAGACAAGGCGTGGGGGGTGGGGACAGGGGGGGTTGCTGCTTTCTGTTGCTGTCCATGGGAAAGAGCAGAGCTTTAAAAAGATTTAAGCGTGTGCTAACTCCAGTATGTGAAAGAAGTGGCACGGCAGGCCAGGTAGGTGGGGAATGGATAAAACTGGTAACTGACAGCTGATGGAATAGTGGAATAGTCATGTGCAAAATAATGTAACTGTCCCCACCTCAAACCATTCATAAAATCCATTCCTGGCAGATCAATCTAAATGTTAAAAGCAAAGTCTGTACCTAATAATATGTTTTAATTTAATGATGATCTTAATACTTTGATGAATATCACTACTGCTTCTGGAATAGTGAAAATTCTTGCAAGAATACCATTTTATATGTAACTTCTCCATTTAACACCATTTAAATGACATTTAACTTTATAACTTATCTGGGGAGGTTGTTTTTTTCTCTTAAAAAAAGCATTTCCATCTATAGCAGTGGTTCTTAGAAACCTTTCTAATGCCACAACCCTTTAGTACAGTTCCTCATGTTGTGGTGACCCCAACCATAAAATTATTTTCGTTGCTACTTCATAACTGTAATTTTGCTACTGTTATGAGTCGTAATGTAAATATCTGTGTTTTCTGATGGTCTTAGGCTGTACAGCAGTGGTTCACAGATTGAGAACTGCTAGCAGGGTCGCCTAAATAATGGGTCTTTTCTTCCAAGATGCAATTCTAGAGTTTGACTTGTATGTTTTAGACCGCCTAAGAAATTTTTACTACTCTCTGATTACTTGGTAAAGAGGACTGAAGGTATGTCAGTGACAAAAGTTAGGTGAAGAAAACTTCTTGTTGTCACATGGGTGAAGATTGGATATAATATTGAAATATTTATAGGTGAATTTCTGTCTTTGTTTCAAAATGATTCATTGGTTAGTGACAGGGGCATGGGCAGGGATTTTAGATGAAATAATAATGTTGAATGGTAATTGTTGCAGCTGAGAGATGGGCACATGGGGAACTTCTGTGTATTCTCTCTACTTTTATGTGTGTTTGAGATTTTTTTTTTTTTAAATAAAAAGCTTTAAAAATTGATGCTCTCCTTTTCAATTGGGGAGGTTCCTTGAGAGAATTAAGCCCTAATGTGCTAATGCATTCAGTGTGAGTAATGAATTAACTTCTCTTGTGTGCATATAGAATGATTTTAGTTATGAGCCACTCTTGGGAGACTTGAGAAAGTAAGTAGTTGTGTGTGTGTTTTAATATTTTATGGTTCCTAGTGAGGAATGTTGGCCAAGAAAGGCTGGCTGAGGGTATAGAATTGTATGATTGTACAACATTGTACTGTTTCATAATTTGATGTTTCTTTGTCTTTTAAATAGAAGTTTTGTACTTCAGTTTTTGAACATGGTCAAAAGGCCGTGTTGTTAATATGTTAACTTTGTACTAAAACTGTTTGAAACGATGGTTTTCTTTTCAATTAGGTATGATCTGAAAGTACAGCCCGTCGAGAGGATGCACCTGGCTGTAGTTGCCTGTGGTGAACGACTGGAAGAAACCATAACCATGTTGAAGTCAGCGATCATTTTCAGCATCAAACCTCTTCAGTTCCATATTTTTGCTGAAGATCAACTACATGATAGTTTCAAAGGCATAGTAAGTATCTGAGACTTAAGTCTATAGAGCTAAATATTTAATGGCGTACTGCTTGGTGGGGAGACTTTTTTTTTCTGCCAAGGCCCATAGGATATTTATAACATCATTCATGGGTCATGTAAAATTATCAGTTTTAAAAATTAGCCTGCTATATTTGGTCAAACATTTAATTAACTCACCCCTAATGCCTTGGCAGGACCAGATCCAATGATTTCCTGGGTCTTGTATGGTATGAGGGCTGGATGTTCCCTACCCCTGCTTTAAAGCAGCAACCATTTCTCACGTTGAGATGACACGTCCCTACATTGCGGGTTTAATCCCTGGTTGGGGCATGTAAAGGGGGCAACCGATTGGTGTTTCTGCCTCTCTTCCTTCGTCTCTCTAAAATCAATTAAACATATCCTTGGGTGAGGATTTTTAAAAAAATTACTTGTAAACAGTCATTCAAAAAGAGAACATTTTTAGCTTGTTACATAAACTACTTAGTGCCCCCTCCTTATAAACTGTGAATGTAGGAAATTTGAGTCAACAATTTTGTTGAAGTAACAGTGATAGGTAATAAACCTGCAGAATTTAAAACAATACAGTGTCTTGCAATGCATTCAGGATGCTAAAGAGTAAACGTGTTCATTTTAGATTTTTAGGTCTGTTTTGCCTTTTCTAATCTTTTTTTTTTTTTTTTTTTTTTTTTTTTTTAGAAGTTGGCTTTGGATATGTATTTATCAGAACATTTTATTATCAGGAATATCTGCATATTAAAAGCACATAAATACTTTCTAGTTAATTTAATATTGATCTGACTTTGTAAATATATTATCTATATTAATAAAAGGGTAATATGCTAATTAGACCTGGCATATTCTGGATGATCTTCCAGACAAAGCCATGATGGCAGGGCTGAGGCAGAGGCGGTTAGAGGTGATCAGGAGAGCAGTTAGGGGATCAGGTCAGCAGGCAGGTGAGCAGTTGGGAGCCACTGGTCCCAGATTGCGAGATGGATGTCCAACTGCCAGTTTAGGCCCGGATATCCCCCGAAGGGGGTCCCAGATTGGAGAGGATGCAGGCTAGGCTGAGAGACACCCCCTCCTATGCATGAATTTCGTTCACCAGGCCTACTACAGGAAATGATGCAATAAAATTAGTGTTTCATTTCTCTCAGTTTAATTTGTTTAGAGATTGAGAAGATTTATATATCACGTGAAGTTGAAGGAGATCAGCAATTCATAAGGCTCTTTCAACTTTCTGATTTTGTGATTGATTTCCTTATAACTTTTATTGTGCCTCAGATCTTTGTGGTGGATTCTCTCTAGCATATTATTATTTAAAATTCTGAATGAAAAAAAATGGTGAGAAAGAAGACTCTTTGTCTTAACTGTGTCCAACATAAAATGTGTAATATCTTAGTTTTTAGTTTTTAAAAAATAATCTATTGGTATATAATCTTACAGAGAAAATTGAAAGTGAAAAAATAATTAAACTGAGTTCTTATTTTTATATTTTTTCAGCTCGACCGCTGGTCATTTTTACAAACATTTAATTATTCATTATACCCAATAAGTTTTCCGAGTGAGAATGCAATGGAGTGGAAAAAGCTGTTTAAACCATGTGCTTCCCAGAGATTGTTCTTGCCAGTAAGTTTTTCCCCCAGTGTTTTGTTTGTTTTTTGACTCTTGCCTTTACAACCATGAATTAATGAAGAGTTGGCATTTAAATCATTAAACACACACACACACACACACACACACACAGTATGACTTTTCCTTTGAACAAAAATAAGAAATAAAAAACATTTCCATAGAAACCTGTTAAAATGAAAACTGTACCAGTAAATAATTTCTATTAAAACACTATTTCTTGCATTTTAACTTATTTAGTGCTCTAAACTGTTATATCTCTAAGAAGAAATCGAGGTCATCTGTTGCCAGTAGAAATGCAATGGTAGTGTCACCTTCTGTCTTATACCAAGTCAGTTTACCTTTTCTAACTAATATTTTAACACAAACACAATTTAAAGCTTGTGAACTCACAGGGAGATGGGAACCATTTATTCAGGGGGCTGTTTTTTGGTAATGTTGTCTGGCGATAAACCCTGATGATAAATTTTTAAATCTAAAATATTCAGATTTTAATAGATTGATGCTTTATTTTTCTAAGTGATAAACTTCTTTTACTGAGTTTGTCTTCCTTTAATGGATTAAAAGGCTCTGTCAACTTCTTCTACAAAAAATACTTAATGTGGTTATTATTTAACCTTATGTCTGAATTTGGAGTTTTATGCAGTCTTTCTAGTCTGCAACAATCCAGTAATCTGTAAACACACCTTGTATCGTGGTACAGAACAGAATGTTGATATAAAAACAGTTGCCCTCATTTTTGATTCCACAACAGAGAGACAGACAGACCTACAGACACATGTACACATACTCTTTTTTAATTGGGGGCTTTATTCAGGCCTCCAGTCAACCATCAGATTTTTTTCAGCCTGATACTAAACCAGCTGGTGGCGGGAATTGCGTGTTTTCAACCTTCTAGCTGCTCATTAAGGTAATTGCTTAATTTTAGCTCTAGGAGGAGGTAGCATCTTTGAAAAGGAGCAGAATGAAGATCAAGTTCTTATTTCATTATATTCTTAACTAAAAAGGTTTAGCTTAACGTAATTATTGAGTCTTACTGATATACTAGATAGGCAATAAATTTAAATGGGTAGGAGAAAGATTCTAATATTCATGGGTAAGGCAGAAATAAAAAACAAAAATTGCCTTTGAAAATCCCTGTAGAAGATATGTTGGAGATTTAACATTTCTCAGGAAGTAGCAGCATAGCTGATCTGTCTTGCAAGACAAATCTTGTTTTTACTCTTACTAAGTATGTGCACATTTTCTTTGATTTGTTAGTGGACAGTAAGCACAGAAATAAGAGCATGAACTTAAGCTAAGTGGTCTGGGTTTCAATTTTGGCTCTACCGTTTGCTAGTTGAAACCAAAATGATGTAAAGGTGCCAACCATTAGTGTTGCAGCCAAGGGAACAAATTTATATATTTAAAAAAAAATAAAAAAAATATATATATATATATATATATATATATATATATATATATATTATATATATATATATTGATTTCAGAGAGGAAGGGAGAAAGATAGATAGAAGCATCAATGATGAGAGAGGACCATTGATTGGCTGCCTCCTACACACCCCCTACTGGGGATCGAGCCCACAACCTAGGCATGTGCCCTTGGCCAGAATAGAATCTAGGACCCTTCAGTCCACAGGTGGATGCTCTAACCACTGAGCAAAACTAGCTAGGGCCATATCTTTATTTATATTCATTTATTTCTATATTTATCTCAAGAAATTAAGATTTGAGATAGAAATTCACTTAAGTTTATGTTCTTTAATTAAGATTTCTCCCTAATCTCTGAGCATATCCTTTTTATTTTATTCTTATTGTTAGTTTTCTTATTTGTTTTGATAGTGTTTCTTTTTTAAAAGTTAATATAAAGATTAGCATAGTATCTTTAACACGCTGTTGCAAAGAATGACTGATCGAGGAAAAATTGCTGTAAAAGTTAATATAAATTAGCTTATCTCTTAAGTTCTTCTTTGATAATTAAATCTTTTATATTTTATACTAAATAAATAGAATTATAGTTAACGATTCAAATATCTCTCCTTATAGTTAATCCTGAAAGAAGTTGACTCACTATTGTATGTCGACACTGATATCCTTTTTTTACGGCCCGTTGATGACATTTGGTCTTTACTCGAGAAATTTAATTCCACACAAATTGCTGCAATGGCACCAGAACATGAAGAGCCTCGAATAGGATGGTATAATCGCTTTGCCAGACATCCATACTATGGAAAAACTGGAGTGAACTCTGGAGTTATGTTGATGAACATGACTAGAATAAGAAGGAAGTATTTCAAGGTAAATCCCTCATAATAGGTAGTTGGTTATTTCCCCGCTGAAGTGTTTGGTTTCCGATTTAATTTTGCTTTGTTGAAAACTACATTGAACTATTCAGAATATTTCCATTTATCTAAAATATTTGAAGAAATGCATGTTCTTAGTATTCTGTTTATTAGAGCATTGCTCAAACAAGATGACATTACAGAGAAGTGAACTAACGCACTGTCGCGAACATCACCTTCTTCGCAGCAGTCGTTCTATAGTTGTGCAGCCACAGAATACTTGAATTTAAAGTGTGAGACATCTTGGGGGAACACAGAGTTGCAGTTAAGAGCTTAAGACTCTAGTGCCTGCTGGTTTGATTCAAACACTAGAATCTTGGGTAAGTTTTCTCATCTATGGGGTTTAGTTTTCTTCATCTGTGAAATGAGGATGGCAAGGTAACACATTACCTATATCATAGGCTTTTGTGAGGATGAAATTAGTTAGAACAGTGGCTAACACATAGTAAGTGTACAGAGTATGCCACAAAGGAAGCACTTAAATGTCAGCTAAAAACTGTGACCTCTGTAACACCCATATAGACTTACTGTTTATAGACTTACTTTACATCTACTTAGGACAGAAATAAACATAAGAGATATTAAGTCATACCTGATATGAGTATATGGGTGTTTTATATGTATATTTGTCAGATCTTTTTCTTATGGCTTCTGATGGAACAGAAAATTTACATCATTATTTAATTTTCCTTTCTATGTGTCTGATTTAAACCTCCCTCTTATTCTGGGTATAAGCAGCAGTGATGCTTGTAGCCAACCTTCTGCCACATCCTGACATTTCAGTCTTAGGACACAGTTTATATCTATCATTTTGTAGATCTAGTACTAGTAAATCTAGGTGTTCTTCTTCTTCTTCTTCTTCTTTTTTTTTTTTTTAATAAATCTTTTTCATTTTCTGAACCTTTCTGAAATCTTGATTTCATTTTACCTTTGTCTCTCACAATTGAATGAACGAATGAGGCTGGTGTGACCTTTGTTCTTGCTTAAAAGTGAACATCTTTCTTTTGTTACCCAATTTGTTAATATATCTTGAATTTTAAAATTATACATACCATAAATTTTTCTAAATAAGATTTCAAACTATGATTTTCTTACTTTTCTATGCATAGTAATATTATACCAGAAGATGGTGCTATAAGATTATCTGCTAAGGAATAATGTGACTTCTCAGTAACCCTTCATTTGAAATTCATAGAATTATGAGAAACAGTGTTGCAAAGAATCTTAGTGATAATTTAGTGTAACACCATTATTCAGTTTTCTAAAAATTTCAAAATACAGCTATATAGTTCAAATCTATGATTATTTTTTACTTATTTAAATGTCATTCTTAAATACTTTAACAGTTTCTCCCACTCCCCTTTTATTTTTGTCTATGGCGTGTTCTAAACCAGCTGGGGATGTAGATATGGAAGTTGAAGTAATTGCTAAATTTTCAAACTTTAGCTTTCTTTTGTGTATTAATGACTAATGAAGAAAAATATGAGAGTCATTGTACATTAATTTAGTAGGCACAGTTTGCTTCATACTTACTGTCTCTATGTTCCAAATAACCCTACTCTTGCTCAGTGAGAACAATACAAATTTGCTTTGTTTTCAAATATTATTACATTATATGGTTGCTGGATGCTTCTACAAAATTCATTGAGTTTTTGATTCCTTTTTTATAATCTTACTTTGTTTTCTGAGTTGCTTTCTAGGCTATATCTGTAGCAAACATTACCTTGATTTTTCCTGGCACAGGTCTTAAATTTTAGAGCTCTGAATTATTTGTAATAACTTTATGTTCCAAATAACCCTACTCTTGCTCAGTGAGAACAATACAAATTTGCTTTGTTTTCAAATATTATTACATTTATGGTTGCTGGATGCTTCTACAAAATTCACTGAGTTTTTAATTCCTTTTTTATAATCTTACTTTGTTTTCTGGGTTGCTTTCTAGGCTATATCTGTAGCAAACATTGCCTTGATTTTTCCTGGCACAGGTCTTTAGAGCTCTGAATTATTTGTAATAACTTTACAAACTGTTTCATACAGATCTGTGAGTGCTATCCCATAATTCTTACCTGCATGAAAAGAGAACACTTACTGTGAGGTAGACATGATGGTGGTTTTTACATATTTGAAAGATGTATGTGACAGGGACTGGTGGACCCCATTGCACTAATAAAGAGGATTTTTATTGTAATACACACACACACACACACACACACACACACGCACGCACACACACACTATACCTTATGAGATCAGAATATCAATGAACATTTTACCAAAGGGATAGAATTTTTCAGAGATTAGTGGAGTAACTAATTTGATGAGTTTCAGTTTCTAGCATTGCTGGAATATAATATGAATAGCCACCTGTCAGTTTTATATTATAAGGTAGACTTTTAATGGTAATGAACCTATGTATTTTCAAAAGCATACATAATTCTAAAAGGGAAAATAATTGATTTTAATATAATAAATGTGTATTTTGGTAGTAGGTTTGCTAAATTTAATAAATTAAAACTATGAGGTTGGTAAAAGTAGGTCTATAGTTGTTTGTATGGAAAATACTATGATAATTGGTAAATAATAATACAAGAATAAACTTGTTTTACATACAACTGTAAACCTTTTTGCCAACTATTTTTTAAATTAAAAAACTAAATTTTTAAAATATATCTTTTATTGATTTGAAAGAGGGGGAGGAAGAGGAATAGAGATAGAAACATCAATGAGAGCGATCAATTGGTTGTTTTCTGCATGTGCCCTACTGGGGATCAAGCCGGCAACCCAGGCATGTGCCCTGACCTGGGAATCTAGCCATGACCTCCTGGTTCATGGGTTGATGCTTAGCCACTGAGCCACGCTGGCTGGACTCAATCATGTTTATAAAAATTTAAACAATTCATAGTATGCAGAGTCAAAAAACAAGTTCCCCCTTTGCACACCGCTTTCCCCAGTTTTCTTTCTTTCTTTTTTTTTTTTTTTTTAATTTTATTGATTTTTTTTTTATAGAGAGGAAGGGAGAGAGATAGAGTTAAAAACATCAATGAGAGAGAAACATCCATCAGCAGCCTCCTGCACACTTCTTGCTGGGCATGTGCTCGCAACCAAGGTACATGCTTCTGGTTGGAATCGAACCAGGGACCTTTCAGTCTGCAGGCCGATGCTGTATCAACTGAGCCAAACTGGCCAGGGCCCCAATTTCATTTCTTTGCCAAAATGACAAACTTTGCAATGTACCATATTCTTCAGACTTTTAAAAAAACGGAATTTGAAACTGATACACGTGTATATTAACACTTGTATGTAGGGTCCTATTCTATATCTTCACTTTGCTTTTTTTAGTAAAGATATAATTGCTTTTTCTCAGTACATGCAGTCAGTCACATTTATTTTTAATGTGAGTGTAGTATTGTAGAGAACGTTTGATAGGGTTTTATTATTTGTTTGTACTAATATGAACTTGAAATTATATGGCTGAAAAATAACTCATATCTTTTCCTTTGTGTTTTTTTTGACACTGCTACTAGTGTGGATAAAATTCTTATTATAATTTTTAGTCATTACTTTTTCCTCCTTTGTAATGGCTATTTGTCCATATCCTTAGGCCATTTTTCTAATTCTGTTGACTTGATTTCTCATTGTTTTCATTGGTTGTCTTGAATATTCTAGTTATGTCATCAGCAAATAATATTAGTGTTGTTGTTTCTTGTCCAGTATTTTCCTAGTGGGATTTTTAAGTCATAAAGGTTTTTCCCCTCTTTGATCTTCACTCTACCCTCAAGACTCCACTGGGTCTTGTAGTATATCTTTCATTGCTTTTTCTTTGAATAGATGTGTATGTGCGTGCGTGCGTGCGTGCGTGTGTGCGTGTCTCTGTGTGTGTGTGTATGTGCGTGTGTGTTTAAATCTATCTATCTGTATTAGAATAGATTGAACCCAGTGAAGAGTTGAACATGGCCTGGTACAATGGGCCCACCAGTCCCTGCCTATTGAAGGTGTTGCTGGTCTTTATCCTCATGCAGTTTATATTTTTCTTTTCAAATCCTAAGAATATTGTGTTAACCTGCTCAGTGACTTATTTCACAGTAATTTTTTCAATAAAGTATTTTCTTATTTCCTTAAGTAAAATTAGTTTTGGTCATTTTCCAGATTATTTTGGGAGGGATTTTAGATTCCTTTATTACTGTGATTACTACATTCTGACAAATTTCACACAAAGCTATACAATTTGAGCAGATCACATTTAGTTTAAATGTTTTGGCCTTTTCCCCAGGAATTCTAGCTTTTTCTTTCGCTTTCTTCAAGGTTAGATTGTTTATACCTCCACTAAGTTTATATATATCCTAGAATAGCCTACAACAATGTTTTTCAAACTTTGGAGAAGGATCAAATTTTTTTTCCAACTTGCAATCTGTCATGAGCTAATATTTTTCTAAAAATGATGTAAATAAGCCTGGCTGGTGTTGCTCAGTGGTTGAGTGTTGATCCAAGAACCAGGAGGTCATGGTTCAATTCCCAGTAGGTCATATGCCTGTGTTGCAGGCTCGATTCCCAGTAGGGGGCGTGCAGGAGGCAGCTTATGATTCTCTCATCATTGATGTTTCTATCTCCTTCTCCCTCTTTCTGAAATCAATAAAAACATGTTTTAAAAAATTATATAAATAAATTAACTAAAATATAAGATTAAGTAGATATAATTCTGTTAAATTCTATAAAAGTTTCTAAACCTCACTTTTAATATTTGTACTTAATCTTATAGAGGTCATAAAAAATTCATTGATTGGTATGATGCAAATTGCACTTAGAGAAATACTGGGTTAAGTCTGGAGAGTTTAAGAGTCACAGAAGTATAAGAAGCTTACTATTCAATTCCATCCCTTCACATTCCGGATTCTGTGGTCCAGAGCCTTCTTTCAATTTTGTTGCTTCCTCAGGTATTAATATTTTACTTCATCTTATCTAATAAAAGAGTAGTATGCAAATTGACCATCACTCCAGCACACAAGATGGCCAATCCCATGTGGACACAAGATGGCTGCCAGGGGAGGACAGTTGGGGGTGACCAGGCCTGCAGGGGAGGACAGTTGCAGGGGGAACCCAGGCCTGCTGGAGAGGGCACTTAGGGGCAATTGGGCCAGCAGGGGAGCAGTTACATGGTGATCAAGCTGGCAGGCAGAAGCAGTAAGGGGCAATCAGGCAGGCAGGCAGGTGAGCGGTTGGGAGCCAGCAGTCCTGGATTGTGAGAGGGATGTCTGACTTTCCATTTAGGCCCGATCCCAGATTGGAGAGGATGCAGGCTGGGCTGAGGCAAACAACCCCCTTCACTTCTTCCCCCCGTTCACGAATGTCATACACCAGGCTTCAAGTGTTTTAAAATGAGCTATGAGGCTGAAAAGCCACTGATGAAATTCAGTATCTATTTTTGATATCAATTTTGAATGATCTCTCTGAAATGCCAGTTACAAAAGATTAGCAATCAGTCTAAGAATAATAGTGATCATGGCAACAACAGTAATAGCTAACTGCATGTGTGTTCCATGTGTCAGGTACTATTCAAGGTATTTTTTAATTATATAGTAACAAGTTAATCCTCAACAACTCTATGACAGAGACATAGACAGAGGTACTTTGTCTAGTCAAATGGCATAGGTACTAAAGTGGTCTTCATTTTCAGATGAGGTTTCAGTCAGACCATTGCCTGCTTTCTCTTTCCATCTCCTTCCCAGCTTTATTATTTTCAATTCTACATACAGCTTCAGATAGCTTCTTTGTTATCTTTCCCGCTCCAGCTGGGCAGCCTTACTCACATGAAGGCTTACATTGGCATCACTGGGTTTTGTAACAAAAGAAGTTGCTATTTCTTCCTGATCTGTAATGATTGCTAAGGGGAGAATGGGGAATTGTCATCATGCCACCCTTTTGAGCCTGGAAGCTTAAGGACCTTTTTACTGTGTTTACCAACAGAATGACATGACAACTGTGCGGATGCGATGGGGAGATATACTGATGCCATTGCTCAAGAAATACAAACTGAATATCACGTGGGGTGATCAAGATCTGTTGAATATCATATTTTTTCATAACCCAGGTAATCATTTAATTTCTTTAATCCTTTGCATTTGTAAAAAAATAAATACAGGAATTATTTAGTCAAAATGAAATGTATTTATTTGATTTCGGCTTTATATTAATAACTATTACTATTTATGTTAAAGACAGAGTAAAACTTTTTTTGAATATTGATGTAGTCGGAGATCTAAAAGCCAAATGTATTTTTTACTATTTTAGATTTTATTTTGTAAGGACTGTAGTTTTAAACTAAAATTTTTGCAAAATGTTAATTCTGTGGGATTAGGGCTATTTACTTAATTGTTTTGTCTTTCTTCATGTAGAAAGTCTTTTTGTTTTTCCGTGTCAATGGAATTATCGACCAGATCATTGTATATATGGAAGCAATTGCCAAGAAGCAGAGGAAGAAGGAATCTTTATTCTTCATGGAAACCGAGGTGTTTACCATGATGATAAGCAGCCAGCATTTAGAGCTATTTATGAAGCACTGAGAAACGTAAGCATTTTAAAATGTTTTTATGTGGAAATACTTGCAAGCTTATAGAGAACTTGCAATAATAATAATACAAAAAATTTCTATATCCTTTACTGAAGAATATGGATATGCTGTTAATATTTTACCCCATTTGCTTTATCATTGGTTCTCTTTATACATGCATTGTTTGTTTTCTGAATAATGTGCTTTTGTCCCTAAAAACTTACGTGTGTTTTCACTTAGAACAAGGATATTTTCTTATTACCAAAAGACAGGACAGATGTCAAACTCAGGAAATAAAATATTGATACAATACTTTAATCTATCATCCATGAGCTTTACTCTTCTTTGATCTAGAACAGGTTTTCAATCTTTTTTTGTCTATTATGGCATTGGTATTTTGGGAGGAATAGAACCCCTTAATTCCTTACATTATTAGAATGTTCTTCATGTTGGCTTGCCTGATGTTTCTTTGTGATGAGATTCAGAGTATGCCCTCCTGGTCAGAATACTATAAGTGGAGTTGTGTTCTTTTCAGGGTGTCACATTCAATCACCTCTGTCTGCTTGCCTCTTATTGGTGACGTTGATTTTAACCACTCAATCAAAATGTTGTTCAGTTTATGCACTGTATAGTTATTTGTCCTCTCGAAAGCAGTTTTTGGGGAGACTCTGTAAAATCATGTAAATACCCTACTCATCAAAATGTCCATAGTAAATTTAGTAGCCATTGTTGGTTTTTGCTCAAACTAGTCTTTTTATTTTTATTTTTTTTAAACAGTCAAGAAGAACTGTTATTTTTTAAAAAGTATATTTTATTGATTTTTTTACAGAGAGGAAGGGAGAGGAGAGAGTTAGAAACTGAGCCAAATCAGTTAGGGCTTAAGTAACTTTATTGATACACATTTTATATACCACAAAGTTCATCCATTTAAAGTATATAATTAATTGGCCAAAACCGGTTTGGCTCAGCGGATAGAGCGTCAGCCTGCGGACTGAAAGGTCCCAGGTTAGATTCTGGTCAAGGGCATGTACCTTGGTTGCGGGCACATCTCCAGTAGGGGGTGTGCAGGAGGTAGCTGAAACATTGATGATTCTCTCTCATCGATGTTTCTAACTCTCTCTCCCTCTCTTCCTCTCTGTGAAAAATCAATAAAATATATTAAAAAAAATAAAGTATATAATTAATTCAGTCATTTTTTGCATGTTTGCAAAGTCTTTATTTACCATCTCCTTGACAATAGTTTTTTGTATATTAGGGGTATTAGTATTTAATCTGTGATTTCTGTTGTAAATATTTTCTCCCAATTTACTTCTTTTATGGCATTTTTTGCTGTTCAGTTTGTTTTAATTTTGTTTAATCATGTTTAACAACCTCTTTGTAAAAAGTCAAAATAAGATAGCCTTTTTCTTACTACACTTAGGTTATAGAAATATTTATGTATTTTATTTATTAAATTTAGTCCTTTGCTTAGTTTGGAATTTAGTCTTTTGAATTAGGTGAAGAATGGATTGCATTTGATCTTTACCAAATGGCAGTCTTGTCCAAACACCATTTATTTAAAAGTCTATCTTTTTTGTTTGTTTGTTAGTCTTCACTGAAAGAAATTTTTTTCCATTGATTTTAAAGAAAGTGGAAGGAGGGTAGAGGGAGTAGAGGAGAGAAACATCAGTGTTAGAGAGCCACATCAATTGGTTGACCCCCAAGTGTGCCCCAATCATGGTGGGGAACCTGCAACCCAGGTACATCCCCTTGACCAGGAATTGAACCAGAGAGCCAACTGTCTAACCACTGAGTCACACCGACCAGAGCTAAAAGTCTGTCTTTAATGCAAAGGTTTGAGGTACTGATTTTATCATATACTAAAGATGCATTTTCATTTCTATTTTGTTCCATTGATCTGTTCATTTGTGCACCAATGCCACAGTATTTCACTTAAAAGACTTTGTGCTGTATTTTATTATCTTCATAGTCTGTCTTCAGTGTGTTTCTAGATCTTGTATATTTATTTTCCCACAAATACCAACACTTTTAACTACATAGAAATCTTGTCATTTTTATTGGGAACGTATCAGCTTCATATATTAGGGGCTGCTGAGATTTTGATGGTGTTGAGACATCTTAACAAGGGCTGTCTTTCTCTTTGTGTCTCAGCATTGTTTAGTAGTTTTCTGTATAGATTTTAAATTTGTCTTGAGTTTATGCTTAAGTATTTTATCTTTTTTGTTGTTTTTGTAAATGGGGTTTTTTTGTTTAAGCATTTGTTTTTATTGAGTTTTGGGTGGAAATTATACTCCCCCTCTCCTATCCCTGCCCCGTTAATATATTTTCTCTCTTTTTTCTTGTTCTTGTAGTCCTCTTTTGTGTAATTAAGGTGGTTTTACAAGGGAAGGTGATTATACTTCATATGTCTCTAGGGTGATGCATGGAACCAGGTCTGAATATGTTGGGGACCAAGTCTTGGGGCAAATCCAAATGAAGGTTGAATTTATGGTTTTGTTTAATGAGTTGTATCACTCAATATGCATGCAGCTAATTCACTGGTACTTAGGGAGAAGTATATGTGACCACTCATCTCATGTAGTTCTGCTGTCAGGCTAGACTATGCCTAATCTTATATGGATATGAAGACAAGACATAAATGAATCATGGGAGTAGTTTGGCTTACATGTGGGCACTGGATTCTAATTCTTATTAATTGCTGGTGACTGAAACCTCTGGTCTAGTACAGCCTCATCAGTAGGAATCAGAAAAACAAAACAAAACAAAACAAAAACCTTAACTGTAATCCACTGAGCTACACTCATTGGAGGATTATAAAATTTAGTGTTGATGTTCATTTAACACAGTATTCAGAAATCAATATCATATTTTAATGATGTTTTTTCATGGATTGTCAAAAGGTGATAAAAATGAACAAAAAGACTTTTGGAGGATCTGAGACTTTGCAGAATAGAAAAGAAATGCATACTTATAAAAATGTGATTTTTTTTTTGTTTCCTTTGAGCATTAAAAATGCATTATTAAAGAATTAAATCTTTCTAATTTATTTGATCTTTTATCTTTTATAAATACATACCTTTAAAATGTTGAGTTGGTTTTTAAGCTGATTAGCTACACTTGATTTTTTAAAAATAAATCTTTTAAGATTATTTCAAATACTGAATTAATGATTTTATGTTTTTCAACTTAATGAAGTTAATCAACCCTTTATGGTGCTTTTGGCTAGTGTTTTTATCTTCCCTTATCTATAATTCAGTGAGAAGTGTAATTTTTAAAAGAATTGCATTCAGACAAAGGTATTTATGCAAGTTTTAGACAGACACTTAGTCATAGCTATCGAATACAGTGAACAATATGAATTATAAAGAATGTGTATCATTTTTAAATTGTAAATGCATGGCTATATCTGCCAGCAAATCAATTTTTACAGTCCATATATATTTCTTAAATATTAGTTCTTGAGTGAATAAAAATATTAAGATTAAAAATTGCAATTCAAAATGGGAACAAAGTATTTTATTGCTCTATAAGGTATTTTCTGCTTAATGTATATCATCCTGAATTATTATATTTCTTGGTATTTCTGTGTTAAGTTTGATTTACTTCTCACACTCTGCTTTTATTTGCATAACTATCTCAGCAAGAGAGTTGAGTGCTTACTCCTACACTACCTTCTTAACCAGCGCCATGGTTGTACCCAGCATTTGCTGGATTGAACTGCCATTTTGCCATATTTTAAAAACATGTCTTACTCTTTGAAAATGCCTTGAATTATTTACTTGTGGTCATCATAGTCTTGCTATTTGCTGCCTTTCAGTCTGCAGTCTTATATACAGAGCACAACCTTCCTGAAAGTCTGTGTACTGAGTGGTGTGCCAGTGACGAGGGAGGGAGTGATTAACTGTCAGGAGAGGTTTCTCAGAGGAGCTGATACTTGAACTGAGCTGTGAGGATGAGGACCAGGCAGAAAAGAGAAGGTGGAGATGAGCCAGGCACAGCCTGTGGTGTGGGAAGAGGCTGCAGCCAGGGTAGGCACACGTGGGAACACCCAGTGCCAGTTGTGTACTGCACAACTCTATGGGCACTTCATGTTACATGAGTGGAAGAATGCAGTGACTTAAGGCTATGTTTGCATCGGAGGAATTTGGGGCTTTTATTCGTTTCTCCCTGAGCTTGTGGCTGTCATCTCACATTAGTTAGAATCCCTGGGTGGCCTCTGTCCCTGAACATGTGCGAACTCCTGCCTTCTCTTGCCCTGCCTCCATTGTTCTGTGGAAAGCTCTCCCTGATGCCCCAGTGGTTACCATTACTTTCTTCTCCAGAATGTGAGACCATAGTTCTGTTTATTTCACTGAAAATATTGGTTGAGAAAATGCTTTTGTGAGACTTAGTTTATTTTAAAATATGTTTCTATTGAATTTAGAGAGTGAGGGAAGAGCGGGGGAGAGAGAAGCATTTATGTGAGAGAGAAACATCGATGGTTGTCTCCCGTACACACACCAACCGCAGACTGAGCTGCAACCTGGGCATGTGTCCCGATCAGGTATGGAACCGGCGACCTTTCTCAACCAACTGAGCCACACTGGCCAGGGCGTTTTTTATGAGACTTTAAAGGGAGGTTGTCAATATTAAATAGATTGAAGAAGTTATTTAGAATTAATTACATATTTATATTTGTCTTTTTATTTTCTTCCTCTAGTGTTCTTTTGAAGATGACTACATCCATTCCTTATTAAAACCTTTAGAACTGGAATTGCAAAAGACAGTGCATACATACTGCGGGAAAATTTACAAAATATTTATCAAACGGCTAACCAAAAGCATCCAAGACCGCTATGATAGACCACCCAAGGAAAGGTGACTCTTGGAGACTACTAAGTCAAATGAATTAAACAAACAAAATATTAGAGGAAACGTGAAGAAATAGTCTTGGATGAAGTGTTCAGGAAAGAATTGTTCATCTTCAGAATAATTTCTTTTTCCTGGGGAAGTTAAATGAGCAATATATTCATTTAATGAAGAATAAATTAAAGTCTTGGGACTCCAATAAGAAGACATTTTTCATCTCTGACGTTTTATAATGTGATTTGCTGTCATTCCAGTATTGCTGAAAATACTAAATTGTTTGTAGCCTCTAGACTTTGGTTGACTTTTAAACTCAAGTGAGAAAGAATAGTGGAAGGGACGGGGTATATGAATGGAGAAAATGTACCTCATACACAGTGGGTTGCAAACTGTGAGTATAGCAATAATTTTGCCAGCACTAACCTCACTTTAAATGTGTGAGAAAAACGTTTACAGGAGCAGAAAAGATTCTGTTTCTAAAGAAATGTGATATAACCATTGACAATCCATGTGTGCCTTCATAGATTTCATCTCTGTTTTAAAATCTTTTTTTTTTTTGACAATCACATTTAAAATTATTTTTAGATTACAAGTAAACTGCATGTTTAAAATGGCACTGTATAAGAAAGAGGGAAAACAGTGAAAATTGTGTTTTAGTCTGTGTATGCTTGTGAAATATAGTATTTTCGTGTGTTTATTTTTAATCTGTCTTGCCAAACTCAGATCTAAGATCGTTAAATATTTTTGGAAAAAACACTTTTTTTTTTTTTGTCATTTTAAATGAAGAATTTCAGCTTTACTGGGCATTCTGGAAGCAGAAAAAGAAATGATAATAAAATGAAAACCTAAATAGTAAACTATGTGATGGACCAAAATGCATAAGCTCTGTACTTCTGTGAACAGTAATTTTACAACAGAGCAGGAGAAGGTGGTCATTTAACTTTTTTTCTTCTACCTCAATAGCTTTGCAAGATATTTTTGAAGAAGCAAATATATAGAGCCTTAATTTAAACAACTATCTTGGATGATTGGGATTAAGAAAATTGTTACCTCTGACTACAGGAAAGTAGTGTGGGTCATTGTGAATAGCCTCCCTTTTTGAACATCACTTTAAGACAGTTATTATTATTTTTTTATGTTGAAAATACAAAAAAAAAAAATACTTCTCAGTGTCCTTGACCTCTGAGTTTGGAGGGTATATAGAAGGTTGTTGTTAACGGTCCCCAAATAAGACCATTGCCTATCTGGCTGCATTAGACTCTTGGGGAGAGCTTGTTGAGAATGGATTCTGGGGCTTACCTTCTGGCCCAGAATCTAGGATTGAGGCCTGCAAACTTTTTTTTTTAAATGAAGAAATTTAAAAATTACACAGTGGAGAGAAAAATACGGTGGTGCTATTTGTCCAGATCAAGCACTTCTCAATATCTTGCCATATTTGCATCATCTATCCTTATTTCTTTTTTTTCTAATGTATCTTAAAGAAAATCCCAGACAGCATGTGATTTCACCACCATGAACAGTTCAGAAACTACAGTGACATTATACTTTGTCCATATTAAATGCATCTCCAATCCTTAAGCAGATTCCCCTGCTTGTCTCCAGTGTGAGAATCAGGGTGCAGAAATGAGTCACATTATGATTCTATTTTTAATAAACATCTCAGGTGATTTTGATGTCAGCTAGTTTGGGAACCACTGGAAATCATTTTGCCAATTTGAAGGTTGAAATTAGGATATCATAATCCTTAGCACAGTTGGTGGATTATAATCGTGATTCTGAAATATTAGACGAAGTACTTGGGGTTATTGACAGCATATGAATTTATATCTAAATAAGTTCCTTAGGTTTAATTTCCTCAGTGAACAGAGAATCTCAGCCCCATGGGCTCTGATATGATTGGGACCATGTAGAGTATGGTCGTTTAATCCAGCTGGGCTGTATACCCTGGTCTCATACCTGTGGCTTATTTATACTGTCACACATTCCACATTGTCCATCAGTTCGAAGATTCTTCATCTGGTTTATCCAGATCTGGCCTGATTGGGCATTTTACCATAAATTGGTTTATGGTGAAAACTTTCTACTTATGGACTATTTTACCTAAAACTTAGAATATCACAGGAAGTCCATAAAAATATTAAAATGAGTTTTCTGAGTTTAGGTAAGGTAACTTTTTCCTTGAGGATTCTTAAGAAATGCAGCTCTCAGCATTAATGAGGTTAAATTATAGAACAACTTAGAGAATATTACATTTCTTTTTATAAAATAGTATACCTATGCAGTTTATATAAATTACATTGTATATTTTTTGAGTCTATATGTTAGAACAATTCTGACCTCAGAACTATCTCTGGGCTACAGTATTACCAAAGTGAATTGACTAAAATATAGTCACACTTCATGTGTATGAAGTAGTTATCTTAAAAGAATATGGAAGACTTTTAGAAATATATATTGTGATTTACATTTTAAGAAAATACAGTCCTGGCTGGTTTTGCTCAGTGGATAGTGTCGGCCTGCAGACTGAAGGGTCCCAGGTTCGATTCCAGTCAGGGGAACTTGCCCGGTTTGTGGGCTTGATCCCCAGTAGGGGGCGTGCGTGAGGCAGCTGATCAGTGATTCTCTCTCATCGATGTTTCTCTCCCTCTCCCTATCTGAAATCAATAAAAATATATTAAAAAAACACATAATCCCCACGTGAAGAATGTTCAGAATGTATTAGGTAACCCAGTTGCCTTTGGATGCTTTAAGTAATATTACTGCTTACTGTTGCTGTCTCATCCTGCCTCCAATTAGATGTTAATGGTGTAATGGGAAGAAAACGAGACTGTGAACTAGGTCTGTGTCCTCTTCGTGGTTTAGGGATTCCAGGTTTATTGTTTAACCTTTCTGACCTTGGGTTTGCAAATAATCGATATGCCCTTCCAAACTCATGAGACCCAGCAGTCATGAGTTAGGAAGTTTTGAGACTCGAGAGAGAATGGATTTGAAAACGTTCTGCATGGTGCCTGTCAAGTATATCAATCAGCGTTTCTGTGGAAGTTCTGCTTTGCCCAGTCATCCCCTTCAGCTGAATGGTTTCTGACATCATTGTATCTCCAGTACTAATTTGCTTATATTAGGTAGGGAAGAGTTTTTAAGAAGAGGAAGCAGAGAAAAGAATGATGTAAGTGAATGATCAGAAAAGAAGGAAAAAAGAGGAAGTGAGAAAAGGGAGGAAAGATGGGAATGAGAGTGAGAATGGCAAAAGGCAGAGTAAGAAGAGAGGGAATGAGTATTGGGATGGAGCGATGGAGAGAAGTGGTGTGGAAACAGGTGGAGAGAAGTGGTGTGGAAACAGGTGGAGAGAAGTGGTGTGGAAACAGGTGGAGTGCCGCTCGTCAGGAGGTGCTGGCTTCATGGAGGAGGCAGCACGGCTCCCTTGTTAGATTTGTTGATGCTAGAGTTGTTTCCCAGTCACTCTACTCACTTATTTAGAGCTAGTGATTGAACATTATTTTCATTATTGTTTTCTGGATCCCAGTTTTTGAGGTAGGGCCTGTGGAAACACAACGACAAGCATCTTCCCTTAACATTTTCCTTTAGTCATCCTGAATGTCGGATCATGCAAGACCACAACACAGAGTCATGGGAGAGGCAAGGGTGGAGGGATGGTTTCGTTAGGTGTGAAGGGGCCAGGAACTTACTGCATCTTTTTTCCAAGATGTTGCTGATAGGAAGCCAAGCTTGGGAATCGTTGCCCTCCCTTGAGTGGCAGCTTAAACAATCACATCTATTGATTCCTCAGTTGCATATTTTCAGTGGAGCCGGTATGAATGGATTCAAGAGAACAGGAGAGAGCAGAAATATATTAAAGGCAAAAACCTTAAGAGAGAGTACTTTTCAGCAGTTTATATTGTACTAGTAAGTCAGACGATGGTGCTGAGTGTCTTTAGTAGTAGTCAGGACCTCTTTGAGGTGTTTAGAATGACTGTGGATCTGTTTTTTTTTTAAAAATAGCTTTTTTGGTTCCTTAGAGTAAATTAAGAAGAAAAGTAGGGGAGCAATATGTCAGATGTGGGGTGAGTTATCCGTTTATTAAAAGTAATTTTAAAGTGTCTTAAAACAACCGCCTTTTAATATTTGATAAAAGTAGATTAAAGAATGATTTGTATGTAACACTTACCTTTTTATACACTGCCAAAGCAACCCTTATTTGCCTATTAAATTCTGGCCGAACTGTTCTGATGTTTGTTGTTTCTTAATTCATTGAACATGAAACTAGATTTTTAAAAACGAAGTTATAAAGTTACATAAACTTAAGACAACTCTAAAAGGTGGTACAAGAATGTTCTTTTATAAAACTGAAAAGGAATATGATGTTAAATCAACTATCTAGCAATAGAACCACGTGGAGAACATGAAATAGCATATTGGACTAGGCAATTTAAAGTTGATTATAAATCAATGTCACACTTATTTTTAAATGGAAAATATGTATTGTCACCTCATCTATCAACAATTCCAAGTGTCTAATGGGATTTATTTCTTTAGAATTATCTGTAGACTCAGTTTTAAAACAGAGAGCCATTGAAAATATATGAAGAAAAATGAAAGATATTCTCACCACTAATACTGTGAGTGGTATTTGGAGGATCTGTGGTGAGACATTTTGAACTGAAACTTAACTGATGTGGAGCCATTGATTATGCTTAGTATATGCATAGTCTGAATATGTGAGCATATTCACACACACACAACACCATAGCAACTGCGTGTAAAAATCGAACACAATGCAACCGTGTATGTTGCGTAAAAAGTAAATTGACTTTGACTATGATGGAAAATAGCTATTTTCAACTTTTGTATAAAATCTCTTCAGGGAATATTGGGATGTTGTGCTAAAATAATTCAGGGCTTGTAGTATAGCTGTAGAATACATCATTTATTCAAAATTGAGCAGAACACACATGCTTCGTATTCGTTTTTTGAGAGCTGGACCAATGGTTTTTGATGGGTGCTATAACAGAAGATCTA